ATAATATCCTAATAATACATTCTGTATATGTATGACTATCACAATAACACATACCTTTTGCCGAATGGAACACCTTAAAATTTTGGGAAGCGTTTCATTTAACCAAACCTATAGTGGTCATACATTTGAGTGATTTACGACAGTATTCGTCGGGTCTTGATTTGTTTAACCAAACCTGTAGTGGTCATACATTTGAGTGATTTACGACAGTATTCACCGGGTCTTTATTTGTTTAAACCAAATGGCTCTAATGTCATATTTATTATTTCTTTTTTTTTATTTTGTAGAAGACCTCAAATGATAAATATGAATCTGGTAGGTATAAAACTTCACGGTAGGTAAGATTGTCTTGCGAGGGAATGATCTGTGCTGGTAATTTTGTCCTCCTCGGTTCTGGTGACGTTTTCTTGAACACAAATGAAAAAAAAAATAGTTGAGATAATGTATGATTGCTTCTCATTTGTTCGAAGGCGAGTAACTATAACTTTGGCAATCTGAGCTGTTTCTGTATGCATAAGATAAAAGTGTCCAGTTTTATATATATCTGGCACGGAAAAAAATAAACAAAAATGCTCATAAAGTCGGCTAGTTATACCCAAATCCGTAGAGCGTAATAATTCAATGAGGCCGTACCAAAATATTACACTTGTGCATTTGAACCGTCCTATGGACATGTCCTGATTTCATGCGGGTGGACCCTGGCTAAGTACTGGTAGGTCCTGATACGCTTCTGGTAATTGTGACAAGACATTTATCTTATTTCGACTCTAACGTTGTAGAATCAATAAAGTTGGGCAAATATTTCTATTCAAACGGATTTGTGACACCTTTTTCTAAAACTTTGTACATCATTTTAATTGTATATTAGTGTTTAAAAATAATCTAAAAACAATACTTTAAAAGGCAATATTTTCAGTTCAATATCAGATGTCTTTTTGTCTTTTTATTTCTGTTTTTTTTTTGCCTGGGCGTTGTCAGTTTATTTTAGACTTAGTTTGAAAAGTTTGAATATCCCTTTGGTATCTTTCGCCTCTCGTTTACAGTGTAATTTCCACTCGCCCCTTTTCCCGCCCTGTTAGCTTATGTTTTGTACATGGAACTTTAGGAATGAATTTGAAAGGTATATGTTGTGATATCCTGTGGTGTCTGTCGTTGATGGAATATGTTCGTTGTTGTTCTGTGGTTTGCGTGTTTGGTCGACTATTATATTATGTGTTTGTGCTGTATTTCTGTCACGTAGTGTTGTCTTTTTAGCGAAATATCTTTTAACATTGTCATAAAGCGGGAGGTTTGGCTAGCCGTTAAACCAGGTTCAACCCACTATTTTTTCTTAAAATGTCCTGTACCAAGTCAGGAATATGGCAGTTGTTATCAAATAGTTCGTTTCTATGTATGTTGGCGTTATTTTTTTGTTGCACTGCAGTGTTCCTGTTGTTCCTTTGTTTTCCTCTTATAGTTGATGTGTTTCCTTCGGTTTTAGTTTGTAACCCGGATTGGTTTTCTTTCAATCGATTTATGACTTTTGAACACCGGTATACTACTGTTGCCTTTATTTTTAAAATATACAAGTTATTTACTGTCCATATTAGGGACTATATTGGTATCATATGGCAGTTGTTTTCCATTTGTTTGATGTGTTTGAGCTTTTGATTTTGCCATTTGATAAGATACTTTCCGTTTTGAATTTTCATTAGAGTTCGTTTTTTTTTTTTTTGTTATTTTATTTTTTTGTATTAGGATGTCAAGATACTCGTACACGTCTACTTAAGTATGGGGATGAAAATATTTAAAAATTAAATGATTCTTTTTATAATTTTATAAGGTTTCAAAAGTGTTGATCGTGCTCACCTTTTTATTAAGAACCGCTTTGATTTCTTTTAATTTCAGGAACATGACAGTTTATTTTCCAATCGTTTGATGTGTTTATATTTTTAGCAACCGCATATGATTTAATTCTGGTATCTGTGATGAGTTATTTTACGTATAATTACAAAACATGTATTTTTCTGTATACTCCGTAATTTTGATTGTCTGACCACAATCGCCAGGCATGAAAATATCATATTTTATTTCCGTATAAAATACAACAGCTATTTTATCAGGAAATAAAATATGATATTGTCATGCCTGGCGATTGTGGTCAGACATGCAAAATTACGGAGTATACAGAATAGATATAAGAAGATGTGGTATGAGTGCCAATGAGACAACTCTCCATCCAAGTCAAAATTTATAAAAGTAAACCATTATAGGTCACAGTACGGTCTTCAACACGGAGCCTTGGCTCACACCGAACAGTAAGCTATAAAGGGCCCCACAAAATTACTAGTGTTAAACCATTCAAACGGGAAAACCAACGGTCTAATCTATACAAAAAACGAGAAACGAGAAACACTTATGAAACACATCAACAAAGGACAGGTGCAAACAAATGCAGCGGGTTTAAACGTTTTAATGGTACCAAACCTTCACCCTCTTTCTGAAACAATAGTGTAACATCACAACATAGAAAGACATACTATAAAATATCAACTGAAATAGCTTAACTCAATCAAAGGACATATTAACACCATTGAACATACACTGAACAAATAAATTTGACCTATGACACAATGTAAATAAAAAATAAATAAACTAAGGGAAGAATAATAAAAGTAACATATTATATCGGTAAGAAATGTTAAACAATTATGGAAAAACAATATGCTGGAACAAAAATACCATCCATTTGCAATAACTTTAAACACAGGTAAATGAAAATAATTTTGTTGTTAGGTATACGTGTACAGTACCAATAGAGAAAAAGAAATATTTTTACAAAATAAATAATTTAGAATACAAAATAAATAAACTAAGGGAAGAATAATAAAAGTAACATGTTATATAGGTAAGAAATGTGAAACAATAAAAGAAAAACAATATGCTCGAACAAAAATACCATCCATTTGCAATAACTTTAAACACAGGTAAATGAAAATAATTTTGTTGTTAGGTATACGTGTACAGAACCAATAGAGAAAGGAAATACTTTTACAAATAAATAATTTTGATGTTCATAGTACGAAGTAAAAATTTATAGTTATACCAAACTCTTATCAAAGCTGGTATATAGACCAGATATAACCCTGAATAACATTAAATAACAAAAAAGCAATACAATTAGTATCAACAGGTCAAATAAACAAGAAAGTACGATTTGAGAGTACTCGCAGTTACTGACAGCTAGTTAAAAGCCAAAACAATTAATAATAAAAAATCATGCATCAGAGACAAAAATCAACTAAAACACATCCCAGGGATTTAGTATTTTAACGTCATGGACAGTCAAAGAAGACATGACTAGTGCAATGCCAAAAATAAATGTATCGACAGACAGTAGGATAGTTAGGTGTTTTACCTCTTTATAGATCTAAACGAACGTGGGTGTGTCTTTATACATCCCACTTGAAAAAAATACAAATTTAGTTATGTTTTAATTTGCTGATGACAAAATCGATATTAGTGCCAATGTAAACTATATTCAAAGATCTAATTACAACATTGGTAAGATAACCTTTACTAATGAGCCTGTTTAAAGGTTCGATGAGTTTACACGGATCACATAGTGCTTTCCGCGCTTTAAGTACAATATTACCGTAAAATTTAGGATGTGAAATATCGTTTTTAATCAGTTTTCTACAAGTACAGCCAAATTTACTAATCAAATCTTTGTATCTATGAAAGAACTTAGCAAAAGTGTTACGTAATTTATGGTAACGAAATCCTTGATTTAATAATTTACCAGTGATGCATTGATTACGTTCGTTAAAATCTATGACATCACTACACACACGGGCATAACGAACGAGTTGGGATATATATACACCGTATGATGGAGCCAAAGGAACATCGCCGTCTAAAAAAGGAAAATTAACAATAGGGAATGAAAAATCGTCTCTTTTGTCGTAAATTTTCGTATGGAGTTTTCCTTTAGAGATTGAAATGTTCAAATCCAGAAAAGGACAACTACTGCTGTTTATGTTAGATTTAGTTAAAATACATGTTTTGTAATTATACGTAAACAAACTCATCACAGATACCAGAATTAAATCATATGCGGTTGCTAAAAATATATTTTTATTATTATTATTTTTTGATTAAGTACAAGAGTACCTGTATGAATGAGTGAGCTCTTTTCAATAGAAAAGCGCTCCTAGTTTTATCACATTTTAAAAAGAGACTATCGCTGATGGAGGACACTATGTCTTGTTGTGCCGAAATATCTTTCTATACGATTTCATTTCATCGTATTTGTATATTTTTATCTTTTATCAATATCGTTGCACAAACCATAAGATTTATATGTGTCTTATATATATTATAAGACAAGCGAAGTTCCTTTGTATTTATGTTTTCTTCAGTCACGTGTTTGCGTCATGAATTATTACAGCAAATACATTTTTCTTTTCCATTATTGCAGGACGTTGCTAGAAATAATATACTAGAATTAGCTTAATAAAAAGTAAAATAACAAAATACCAAACTCCAAGGAAAATTCAAAACGGAAAGTCCCTTATCAAAATGGCAAAATCAAAAGCTCAAACACATCAAACGAATGGAAAACAACTGTCATATTCCTGACTTGGAACAGGCATTTCCTTATTAAGAAATGGTCGATTAAACCTGATAAGACTGTGCTAAAAGTGAAGGTGTAATTGACTAGATTCGCTTTTTCAGACTGCTGTAAAGCTTTCTATTTTTGAAATAAGTTTTTCACTTTGACAAATTGATTGCTTTTTTTATAATAATGGTCTAATATAATGCGTTGAAACACAACATCAATTAAAAAATTCCCTTATCTTGCACTTGTTAGCCAAATTGTAAGTCATGGTTTTAAAATACCGATTAACCTGAATGTGGAATGATACGTCATCAACGATCAGACAATATTTCCAAAACTTAGTATAATAGAATTATAAAGGTAACAACTGATGCTTGTACTGTAAATAAATGATGTAATGTCTGTTTTATTTGTTGCCTTTATTTGTTGCCTTTATTTCCCAAACCGGTTGTGGATCAAGTACTCAGTTGTCTGTTTTCTTCTTCCGTATTTGACTATATATTTTCACTATTACTGAACCAATTTTCGAATGATTCATTGAGAAATTCGCTACTTTCTGCCGAAGTATGATTCGTTTTGATAGTTTTACTTGTCTTTAACAATCCGTCACTATCATCGTCTCCTTTAGATGTTTCATCGCTATCATTTTCTTTACTCTCTGTGTAGAAGTCGTTATAATCATGTTCTTGTGAATTGATTAAATCATTGTCAGTGTGAACGATTTTCATATTTTGAAAGATGCGAGGAAAATACTCTTCTTCATTGTTATTATTATAATCGCTTTCAATAGAATTTTCATTACTGTCTATATAGTAATAATCTTTTATAACTTTGTCATCTGATTTATCAGTGTGTAGAGATGTTTTGGGTACATTTTCCGCTGAGTCACTAGTAATTTTGATAATTTTGTCGTTAGATTTTTCAGTGTGTAAAGGTTGTTGGCTTTTATTTTCCTCGTAGCTACTTGAATCATATACCGACCAATCATGGTCTGAACTAGATAAAAAGGGTTCGCTTTCAGAAAAAAGTGTATTATCGCTACTTGTGTATTCTCTCTCTTGATTGTCAGCTCTGTTGTTTGGTGATACGTAATTTTTATCATAAGCATTGTATACTCTTTTTTGTACAGCTTTCTGTTCAATATTGAAAGCTTCAATACCATTTACACTTTCACTTTCGTCGCTGTCAAAAAAAGATTCATACGGTTTTAGGGATTCATCGGCTTTTAAAGGAACTTGCATATCATCTCCATAATCCAAGCTGTCGTAACTATCAGAATTGCTATAGAAAGATTCTTTTTTTTTCCATCCATTATTATCATGAACCTGTATAGCTCGAACTGAATCTTTAGACCTTGATGGAAGTTTTGTTTTCAAACGACGTTTTAACAATGGGTCACTATCATCGTCTCCTCTGGATATTTTCTCACTATCATCCTCTTCAATACCATTTACTCTTTCATTTTCGTCGCTGTCAAAAAAAGATTCATACGGTTTTAGGAGTTCATCGGCTTTTAAAGGAACTTGCATATCATCTTCATAATCCAAGCTTTCGTAACTATCAGAATTGCTATAGATAGATTCTTTTTTTTTCCATCCATTATTATCATTAACCTGTATAGCTCGAACTGAATCTTTAGACCTTGATGGAAGTTTTGTTTTCAAACGACGTTTTAACAATGGGTCACTATCATCGTCTCCTCTGGATATTTTCTCACTATCATCCTCTTCAATACCATTTACACTTTCATTTTCGTCGCTGTCAAAAAAAGATTCATACGGTTTTAGGGGTTCATCGGCTTTTAAAGGAACTTGCATATCATCTTCATAATCCAAGCTTTCGTAACTATCAGAATTGCTATAGAAAGATTCTTTTTTTTTCCATCCATTATTATCATGAACCTGTATAGCTCGAACTGAATCTGTAGACCTTGATGGAAGTTTTGTTTTCAAACGACGTTTTAACAATGGGTCACTATCATCGTCTCCTTTGGATATTTTCTCACTATCATACTCTTCACTATATGTGTAGAAGTCGTTAGAACTTGCTTCCTGTGATTGTACATGTCTAACAGTAACATCTTTAGTATTTGCCATCAACAATTTGTTTTGAAGCATGTTAGTGTTTTGAACAGGAGTGTGTTTACCTCTCGTATATTTATAAGTTGCTGATGATTTACGTACATATCCATTTTTCCTGTTCATTTCTAAATTTTGTATGACTTGTTTTCTTTTAAACACCGAAAGATTACTTTTCCAGTTTTCCAACAAAATGTTTCTCTTTTGAACTAGTGACATTTCTTTACTTTCTGTCCGTGTTGTATTAGATATTTTTGGCTCACTCCGTTTTGTATCAGAGATTTGTGGCTCACTCCGTGTTCTATTAGAGATTTGTGACTCATTCTGTGTTTTATCAGAGATGTGTGGCTCAGTATTCTTCCTTGACCGTACAAATCCTTGATGCATTGTTGATTTCTTATTTTTGAACAGATCATTAGATTTCGACATACGATTTTTGGAATCTACATTTTTCAATCTCTCATTTTTCTTTACTATAGTAAAACTTTTTATAAGCCTGTGTTGATCGGATGGTATAAAATAATTTCTTGTAAAAGGAGACGGTTTTCTTTTGAATTTTTTCCACCGAAAGGAATATTTTTTTTTCTTCGGATTTCTTGATTTAAATCTGTATAAGTTTGCACGATTACGAAAATTTCGCCCCGATGTTACAGCTGTTACCTCCTCCGGAATTTTTACATACTGCTTTGAAACAAAATTTCCTGACATTCTTGAACTATCAAATTTTTGCAATGCTGATTTTTTGCCAACAGTTATGATGGAAGCTTTCACATTTCTTGCTCTCACTTTATCCGCTTTGACCAGCTTTGCTGTTAAACTATTCGTTTTTACGTGGCTTGCTTGAATATCATCAGCACTAAGAACACCAGATGTTTCCCTTCTAAATCGACCATGGTGAAAATTATTCAGCTGAAATTCAGTTCTCGGCTCATGGAAAGTAAATTCTATCTTATTGAAAAATACCCCAGGCGATGAGGTTTTGCTCTTTTGTATACCTGTATTGTAGAGACGTGTTTGTAAGGATTTAGTTAAAACTGGTTCTGGCAGAGAAATGTTTTCTAGAGTGAAACCTGAAATAAAGATAAAATTGCTATACTTGTCTTCCCTCTGACCAAATAATTGATATAATAAACTACAGAAAAGAATCTTGACAAAGAAATCGTTTGCTTATATTGTTGGGATCTACCCTTTACCTCAATTTGATAAAAGAATAACATAAATCGTCTTTGAAGGACGCAATCACGTGTAGGTTGACCGTTATGGAATATCCGTTTCACAGATGATAGCGGATGTGTTCTAAATGTACAATATCAACCTAATAATTAAATACGTCGCTCTAATTCAAACTTAGTATGCGAAGACTAACATAACAAATCACTAGAACTTCGTCAACATTATATAATTTCAGAGGAAGAGAAAGGATAGAAATCATGTATTTTTAATCATCACGCGATTCTCAAGATTCCCGCCTTAAATTTGAATTATCATAAGATCACGTATATATACGTATCCCATCATAGCGATTGATTTGATCTGCTTACCCTTTCGGAGCACCTGAGATCACCCCCAGTTTTTGGTGGGGTTTGTGTTGCTTAGTCTTTGGTTTTCTATGTTGTGTCATCTGTACTATTAGTTGTCTGTTTGTCTTTTTATTTTTGGCCATGGCGTTGTCAGTTTGTTTTCGATCTTTGAGTTTGACTGTCCCTCTGGTATCTTTCGTCCCTCTTTTCTTTGACAAATATTTAATGGTCTTAAATATGACAATTTGTTTTCAATATACTTTAAAGATAAACGTTACATGATAATGAAACGTAAATGATTCTTATAGAAGAAAGAATGTTTTCAGCTAAACCATAACATAAAAACCTGATTTTTTTATTGATTATAGTTCGCCTTCAAACTAGCCGAATTTCTCAATTTAAAAATAATCGAAACTTAAAATTTTTTAATTAAGGTAAAAGGTTCTTTAATCAAAAGCCAAAGCCAGAGTTTCATAAGAACAAAAGAAAAGACATCGAGATAAATAAGGTCACGCTTTTCTACCTATTATCGATTGAAAATTTGAATTTTAATGTTAAAATAGATCGTACAGATAAGTCAGCGAAATTAAATTACCTTTTAAACTACACGTACAATGACATATATTAATTTATGCACACTTAATGTTTATGGTATGCAAAATAAAGAAAAAGGATTAAAAGTTATAGATTGGGTTAAACGCAATAAGTGTTCCATTGCCCTTTTACAAGAAACACATCTCAGTGAAGAATCAAAGGCTAGTCTCGAAAAGGATACTGATTTTATTTAAATATGCAGATATTGAGGTCATTAATAAGTTCTGCGATAATGACGGAAGACTTATTTTATTAAATGTGAAAATGGACAATATAATTTTGTCTCTAGTTTGTCTTTACGCGCCAAATTACAGAACTGATAGATATTCTTTCTTCAAGAAAGTAAACAATTTTATAAAAGAAAATTCTATAGGCATTACTCTAGTTACAGGCGATTTCAATGAAGCGTTAAAAATTTTAGATAGGAAAAGCGTAAATAAAAATACAAAGTTATCTGAGCCTGTAAATAGTTTAAAAACTTTTATGAAAAATCATAATTTTATAGATATTTGGCGTTTCTTACATGAAAATACACAACAGTTTACATGGAGAAGAAAGGATAAGACACAAGCCAGTAGGATAGATTTTATTTTAATTGCAAAAGAATTTCAATCTCTCGTTGAATATTGTAAAATTAAACCGGCACTAATCAAAGTGACTGACCATCAAGGGATGGTTTTAAACTTTAGGACAGGAGCTTCTGAAAGAGGGAATGGGTACTGGAAATTGAATAATTCTATTTTAAAAGATATTGAATATAAAAAAAACAATCAATAGAGTAATTAATAAGTTCAAAAATCGTATAAACAATAGTAACAGTATCGATATCCGTCTGGGACAATCTAAAAATCGAAATTAGGGACGAATCTATTCTTTACTGTAAAAGAAAATCGAAATTATCAAAGGAGACAACAAGAAAATTAGAAAGAGAATTAGAACACTTTACGACACTTAGAGATGGACAATTAAACGAAGATGAAACAATAACAAATATTATCTAACAATTAGAGTTACAATTGGACAAAAGTTATGAAAATAAGGCAAAGGGGGTACAAATAAGATCAAGAGAAAAATGGATAGAACTGGGGGAAAAAATAATTCTTATTTTCTAGGTTTAAAAAAACAGCGACAAGTTAAAAAATATATTAACAAACACAGAATTGAAAATAACGAGGTAACAACAAACCAGGAACACGTTCTAGAAATGATAAAAAACTATGATAAAGTATTATATACAACCACGAATCCAGATAAAAATCTACTACATAAATATGTAGGCGTTACTGTTATGGAAAAGGAGAAAAATGGAGACGACTTTAAAATTTGTGACGGGGAGGTTACTATAGATGAATGTACTAATGCTATTAACAAGATGAAGCTAAATAAATCACCTGGTCTAGATGGTTTAACATTAGAATTGTATAAGACGTTTTGGGAAAAATTAAAAACAATGTTAGTAAAAGTTTTAAATAAAGGACACGCGGAAAAACTGTTATCATATACACAACGAATAGGTGTTCTATCTTTATTATTAAAAAAAAAGGGACCCATTATCTTTGGACAATTATCGACAATTATCATTATTAAATGTAGATTTGAAAATATTATCTCATGTTTTGGTACAGAGACTAAAAGAGCTTCTTCCTAAACTAATTACTGAAGATCAAACCGGATATGTAAAAAATCGTTTTATTGGATTTAATTTAAGGCAAATCAAAGATATAATGGACTATGCAGAATCAAACGGAATAGATGGGGCTATTATATTTGTTGATTTTACAAAAGCTTTCGATTCTTTGGAATGGGAATTCATGTTAAGCGTTTCAAAACATTTTGGTTTTAATGAATCATTCATATCATGGGTGGAAACACTATATAAGGGAATACAGACGTGTGTGATGAATAATGGATGGGTATCCGAAATTTTTGAAAACTCTAGAGGAATTCGTCAAGGATGTCCTTTATCGGCTTTACTTTTTGTTTTATCAGTCGAAATTATGGCCGAGCGATTAAGGAAAACCTCAGACACTAAAGGTATTCGTATTACTATAGATGATAAAACACACAGCATCTAAATATCACAATTGGCTGATGATACAACACTTTTTTTGTAGTTCAAAATCAGATATATCAAAAGCTATGAATATAATTGAAAACATTGGTTTTTTCTCAGGTCTGAAGTTAAACCGTAATAAAACAGAAGGAATTTGGATTGGGGCGCTTGAAAATATCATAGATAAAATTGAAGGCATACGCTGGACAGACAAACCCGTTAAATCTTTAAGCATTTATTTTGTTCACGACAAACACCAATGTGAAAAGTTAAATTTGGAACCTAAAATAGATAACATGAAATCATTAATTAAAACTTGGGAAAAAAGAAAATTAACAATTGGTTGGGAAAATATTAATCATAAAATCTTTAATATTACCAAAATTTACATTTTTGGCTACTTCGTGCGAAGTTTCAGATATTTACCAAAAAGAAATTGAAAGCTGCTGTTTCAAATATATTTAGGAGGGAAAAAATGACAAAGTTAAAAAAAACACACTTATCGGAGAATACCAAAAAGGGGGATTAAAAATGATTGATTTTAAAAGTTATTTTACAGCACCGAAAGCTTCATGGGTCTCCAAATTAACAACAACCGAACTGCCGAACTGGAAGATTATTCCTACTAAATATTTTAACACTCTTGGTAAAAACTTTCTTGTCTTTAAAATGAATTTAGATAACATAAAATCACTAAATGAACTTGGAAACATACCTGATTTTTATTTACAAGTAATTTCAAGTTGGGTGAAAACAGGAGAGGGTTTAACAAAATTTTCTTTCACTTTTCGGGTATCAGAAAACAGATTATTTGGGGAAATAAATATATTAAAAATTGTAATAAAAGTTTGTTCTTCCTGAACTGGGTTAAAAGTGGATTGGTGTATATTAACGACATACAAGATAGTGAGGGAAAATTATCCGAAAGCTTTATTTTAAAAAAGTTAAAGAATAAATCAAGCTGGATTGCAGAGTTTAAGATGTTAAATCCTTGCATTCCAAAAGAATGGCTGCACGTTTAAAAAAAAAAAGAAAACTCCGTTAAGAGTATAATTAATATATGTAAGGATAAATTAAGATGGCAAAATAAACAAATTGAAGCAAAATATATCAACAATAAAATACTCTACAATAAATTAATAGTTAAAAAATATACAAAGCCAATCGGTATTAATATCTGGACAAGATATTTAAAATTAGAATACACACCACATATGACATTTGTATACGATTTTATATTTAAAATTTTAACAGAAAACAAATTGAAAATTTTCAGATGGAAACTACTTCTGTATATTATTCCTACATAGTAGTTTCTTTTAAGATGGAAAATATCTGAGAATGATAAATGCATTTTTTGTAAAACAGAAGAAGAAGATTACTTGCATTTCTTTATTACATGTTCATTTTTGAAAGATTTTTGGGAGAAGGTACATTATCTTCTAGCAAAAATGAATTTTCATAACAAGGTATTAGCAAAACATATTGTATTTGGATACAAAATATCAGACCAAGGGTATTATAGTTTTAACTATGTTTTGACAGTTTTAAGTTTTTGTATTTACAAGTCATATTATGTCTCCGAGCAAAAACTAAATTTTTTAGATGTGTATAATATGTTTATAAAAGAAATACGAAGAGTTATGAATGAGAACAAAACAGTATCTCAAAATGTATTTTTCATTAATCTAAAAAGATTGATATAATAAAAAAAAACTTTTATATTTTATTATATTCTGAGAATTGTCCTGGATACTCAGAAAGTATTTCACAGGGATACTTTATTGGAACTTGGACAGTGAAGTAAAATTTTAACAAGCATTCTGAAAAATAAAAAATATCTATTTGTAAAAAAAAAAAGAAAAGACATCCAGCTATACGACCTCGAAGGATCACCAGAGTG